TGTCAGCCAAGCGGTAGGGCGCATGTGTAATAGGGAACAAATCTGACCACATCGTTTGGGAACTCCCAACGAAACAGGAGGATGTCTTAACATTCACTGCTGCAGAATGATGATGAGACAGAATCGGAATGATATGCTCCCTGGCATCTTCCAAGGTAATTCTGTAATGACTGACTTAGACCTGAGAAGTTTAGTATCTGTGTACATTTAGCTTCCTGCCGTCCTTTTCCTAACAGACTCCATATTGGCCAGGTTCAGTCATTCATGAAAGTTCTGTGGCCCCAGCCCCATGACAGAATTTAGGAATTTGAAATCCCTCCTCTATACACTACCTCTGTGCAACACTGTGCTTTGAGACCCTTTGTTGAAGCCATGAGGTGCTATGGGCAGTCAGTCCCTTCTTTTCAAATGGAACATGTACTTTTCCCTAGAAAGATCACAGGGGCAGTGGGGATGATGGGACAAGTGGCTATTTTTACTCCTAAACACATGTAATAACTGACCCATCGGTAAGTGTGAGCTGACCGAGCCAGCTCCATTTTGGAAAACAGCTTTTCTTTTTATGCCAATATTATGTCAGCTAGATAATTCAAGGACCAAGTTAATGGAAATAGTCTTTCAAATCACATTTTTTTAGAAGGAAAGTTCTCACTTTGAATACTGTTTAATGATTTTCTGAAAATAAAATTATCTGTGTAATACCTTAAAAGTACTTTCACTACTCTAAAAGTACATTAAATAAATTGGCTCTAATATGTTCTTTAGGTACTTTTAAAATAGGTTATCCATTTAGCACCTATCAGGAGATTCTTACTAATATTCCTAAAGGGAAAAGAAAAATGATATTGTTTCTCCTTGCCTTGACTAGAGGACTTTTATTTTAGCGGCCTTTTCTCATTTCATTTATTCTTGCACTTTATTATGTTGAACACCTACTGTGAGTCAGATATAGTGATAAATGATGAAGACACAGTTCCTGACCACTAGGAAGTCACAGTCTAGTGAAGTTTCATTCTTACCCTTTATATCATTCCATTAAACACCCTTTTCCATATTTTGAACTGAGAGCATGAATTTAAAATTTAGGAATGATTTGCATGTTTGAAATTATTTGGGCAGAAATTTTGAGACAGGACTCGAAAACTAAATTTGGTGTGTAATTAATAGTCATAAAGGCAGAGATTATAGTAACATCACTTGAGTCCATAATAAAATCAATTTAATTTTTTTAGACATGATCTAGGATATTTATTTTTCATAAGGCATCTTTTAAAAAATTGACTACATGTTTTTGTTAGTATTAGAATTGTGGTTTCATATTATTAAATTTCCTGTAAGATTTAAGGTTTCTATCAATCCTTTTCATATTTAAAAAAAAATTTAATTGACACTTTAAAATATTTCTTAATTTTTCATTTCAAAATTTGGGGAAGATTTTGTCAAACTATTTCAACTATGTTAATTATATGGGTACATCAAAGTGCTTACAAATCAATAAGTGCAGCACATGTTAACATAGTTCAATATTCAGAATCCCAGGTATTTTTGTAATATGTTCTATAGGCATACAATAGTTTCTGTTTCTAATCTTTCTGTACATTTTCTACTTTGGAATGCTAATTTGGTAGAGAGTTGTATTATTCCATGTATTTATTCAGTTCTTTATTTGGGATTTTGACTATTCAAACGTTTAATGTTTCATTATTCTGTAATCTTGCCAAATCAATATAAGTTGCATGTGCCAGTTAGATGAGATAAAGAGAAAGTATGAGGAGCTGAAATAGAATATACATCTTTAAATACACAGTGACTTGTATTTAGAAGAGATGGCACCACTTCTGTCACATCCTTATTCTTTGGTGGTTTCCATTTTTGTCTTTTATCCTCAGTTAAAACTCAAATATCCTAGACGGTGCCCTCAACATATCTTCTTGACCCCCCATCCTGCCCCCCTCAGGATTCCCCTCCTCTTCCCCTTGCCTCTAGACTCTAATCTCCAATTTGCTTCTCGACTCACAGCAACCTAGTTCTAGTGACCTCAACAATGGCAACTAAAATACTCCGGGGTTCTTATTTTATGCCAACTGTCTTTGCATTTGGCACAATGATTACCCCATTTTCTGAAGTTCTCTTCTGATATGGCTCTCGTCATGCTATAATTAATTTTTACTCCATTATGTGTACCTAATGCTTCTGACATGTGAGCTCATTTTATGTCATTTGCTGGTTATTGGAGTTCCACAGGTTTCAGTCTGTCTTTGGTTTTCTCATTTTATAGATCTTTTCTCAGCCACTGTATCTATTTACATGACTTCAACTTTCTCCTGTGTGTTCTTTCAAATCTGATCACTAGCTTGTGCCTTCTTTCCCCACCTAGCCACACACTCATCTTCCCAGCTCCTGAGAGCATTTTTCCCTAGATGTAGGAAACCACACTAAGCTCTAGATAGATAAAACTGACATTATCAACCCCTCCTCCCCCAACACACACACACTAGGAGGGGAGTTCGTCCTGTTGCATTTTCTCACAGGTGGTACCTAACTCCTCTGATCAACTTCCATCATCAAATCAGCCATCAGTTTCTCTTTTTTCTGCTCATGCCTTTCAAGGTATTTCTTAAATCTATCCCTTTACTTCTGTTCTAGCTGTTATTCCTTTAGTTTAATCCTTCGTCACCACTTACAGAGAGTAAAACAGTCTTTGTACAAAGGGATCTCCCCGGCTCCTGGCTGACTAGCCTGCACCGGGCAAAGTGATCTCTGTAAAACCCAAATCTGGCAATTTCACTATTTCTTCAAAACCCTGCTGTGGTTTTTTCATTAAGTTTGTTCCTAAGCAAATAGTCTTCAAATTCTGGCTCCTATCTAATGATCTAGTTGCTTCATCTCCCTCTTTCTGTTCCTCTCTACGATTCAGAATTATCTGTATTTGTCCAAGCACACTCCACATATTCTCTGATCAATGGTTTTGCTCTAGTTTCTTACCCTTAGAAATCGCTGCCATCCAACCCTGCTTCTTAGCACCCAAACTACAGCTTCCTAATTTCTCCATCAGGGTTATCTTCCCCCTCTATAGCTGAGTGCCCCTCCTCCCTGCTGCCCTAAGGTACTCTTTCACATCACTTACTGTATTTATCCCATTATACAGTACACATCTACGTGTGCATCTGTCTTCTTCATTAAATTGTGATCTCATTAAGAATGGGAAGATGTAATTCATCTTTCTTTTTCTTCCTCAAGCTACTAGAGTAATTGGAACACATAATAGGCATGCAGCAAAATTTTTTTGTCTTTTTTTAATGTATGAATGGACATCTTTCATTATTTATGCTTTCCCCTTAAGTTGAATTTCACTTGCAAATATTTTTCTTTCAAAGGTTATTATTAAGGCACAGATTACAAACTAAACACAGTTTTCAGATTCTCACTTGGAAATAGGAAGTAGACTATATTAATCTTACAAAATGGCAATGCCGTATAAAATAAGCACTTTGAAGAAGATATAATAGAAACCTAGGAAAAAATAATTTATTCAGAATAGAATAAAAAGAAAACCATGTAAAAAAACTTGGAAAAGTTTTTAGTAATTTTTTCCATTTTTAGAAATGGTTTTGATTAGGGATTATGATACCAATTCAATGCTCTAAGCTTGATTTTTTTTTATTTGTTGCTTGTTTTCTAAAACTTTTTTTCACAGTATTTTCCATATTTCTGTGTATTAAATTTTTTCTTGGCTGCTCAAGACTAATCCTTAATACAAAAACAATCTTCCACTTTGTAGGAATGTTGTAGCAGATAGCGGTGAAGCACGAAATAGTGACCTAATTATTATACATAGTTACATTATTTTACAAGTGTTAAGAGTTCTCTAAAGATATAATGGGCAGTTTGACCGTATACATGAGCACCTTTTTACTTCATTATATAGTGATTTTAAACTTCAGCTTCATTATCATTCTCAGAAATTAGAGTTTGGAAAAAATTAAGTTTATTGCCAACAGAACTGAACAGTTCTATAAATTATAGCTCTAGAAGGGTTCTTGATAGTGCAGTGGAGTTCTTTATTTTGATTAGAGAAAAAGGAAAGAAATTCAAGTACCTTGGAAGCTGGATGAAATATTTCTATACTTTAAAATGAAATTCTAGGGACTATACATCAGAATTCTGTGTACTTAGATAATTTCATTTAAGTGTTAATCTCAGTGGATTCTTTAGGTACTGGGTCTCAATTTATTCATTTGCTTGGAGAGTATTTATTTATTTATTTGTTGTTGTTTGACTTAAGTATTATGGCAGCTTAAAAACCTGTTTTTGTTTGCCTGTTATGGCCCTTCTCTTTTAAGAGTGTCAAGATAAACTGCAGTATGTTGAAACCAGTTAATTTGCTTTTTAAATGAGTTCATGTTTAAAGATAAGAATATCTTAAAGGCAGTCACAACCAAAGAATGTAAAAATATGATTATGTAAAGTATCCATGAGAATTGCCTTAAAACATGTTAACTCGTTTTCTGCCAAAATCAATCTTAAATGAATATTAAACATCAAGTTGTTATATTATATTAAATAGCTCATTTCCCTTTTTATTGATTTTGTTTTTTAGTTTAACTTCAAGCCTTTCAGAAGAAGCTGTATGCATGAAACCAATTATAGCTTTTGAAATATTGAGCTATTCATTAAGACATATAATCATGAATGATACAAATAAATTGGAAATATTAGAAATGAGCTATATGTGTTTGGAAGTTACCCACAGAAAAAGAATAAAATTTTCCTTCACTGTGGATATGTTTCTTTGAGTTCCACTTGGGTGGTATTTGAGATTCAATTTCCATGTATTCATCAAGCGATAATCTTCTCACTGGCTTTAAATTCATGGTGTTCCAAAATTGTCTAATAACTATAATTAAGAATTTGACCCAATTAGTGTTTATCTTACTGTTTCTTTTTTTAAGTGACTAATTTTTCTTTCCTTGTATTTTTAAAATTTGGATCTTCTGCAGGTGCATAGGCTCAAGTATTGAAGACTGCATCGGCCTGATGGATAGGTATTTGGTGTGCTTGATTCCCATGTTCTTCCTCCAAGGCTCCATGTGTGAGCACTGGTGCATGTGGGTGCATGTCACTGTGAATGGAGAATGATGTCTTCTGTTCTGTAATTGCCTGCAGGTGTAGCGGTCCCACTAGTCATGACTGCATTTACTACCCTTGGACGGGCCATTCCACTTTACCACAACATGCTAGGTAACATCTACCATGTTTCCATTTTGTCACTCAAATCCTTTCCCAATTATCCTGGATAAAAACTACTAACCATTTGGGTAAAATCTGTAATATGTTGAATTAGGGAGTTAAGAAAGATACTTTACAATTTACTTTTCAAGCTACATTTCTTACCTCTTCTTCCTTCCTTAAGTATGATTTTTGAATCCAAATTAGTAATGTTATTAATGTTTAAATTTTTTACACTTAAAGCCAGAATTTTGAGTTATTGATCTATAATTTTTATAGAATTTTTTTTCTTAATCCTGCAGATGATTGCAAAAAGAAATACTGTAAGTGAGGAATTTTCCAAACTTAATCTATTTTTGTAAGATGTTTGTTATTTAATTTGATTCAGTTTCTGACTTTATAGTATTTTGAGCTGGTTGGTATATTCTCTAGACCTCAGAATTATCATAGACTAAAGGCAGCATAGAAAATATTTTGTGCAGGCAAAAGTACAAGTTGGAATTATAAAACAAAATGTATCGCTCATGTTCATACTAAAACCTATTCGTGAATGTTTGTAATGGCTTTTTTCAAAATCACCAAGAACTAGAAACCAGTCAAATATTCTTCAACTGTGATATATCCATACATTGCATCACTGTTCAGCAATGGAAAGGAACTAATTGCTGACATACCTGAAACATGGGTGGATCCCATATGTGTTAGGCTAAATGAAAGAACCTATACTTAAAAGGACACAGACTGTGTGGTTCCATTTATATGGATTTGGGGAAAAGGCAAAATTATAGAGACAGAAAATTGATCTGTGTTGCCAAGGGCTGGGGGTGAGGGATGAGGTTGACTACCAAAGGGCATGAGGGATTTGGGGGGATAATGGAACTGTTCTGTATCTTGATAGTGGTGATGGTTGTAAGAATGTATGTGCTTGTCAAAAATCATAGTTCAGTACATTTAGAAAGATAATTTTACTGTATAAAATGTATACCTCAATAAATATGACTTTTAAACCATCTCATGTTTAGGAAAATAGTCATTTACAGTGTTATGTAGAAATATCATTAGCTGTTTTTTAATGAAACAAATTAATTGTATCTTCTGTAAGAGAAAGTTGTGCTAAATTAAAATTAGCCAAATCACAGTTTTGGATGAAGTATTGCCTTTTAATATAAACTTTTGATTGAAATAGTATGTATATAGTGTCAAAGTACACAAAACATAAATGTAAGGCTCAGTAAATTTCTACAAATGGAAAACTCACGTAACCCTCAGCCAGATCAAGGAGCAGAATGGTACCAGAACCCCAAATCCCTTGTGCCCCATTCTGTAGGGTAACCACTGTCCTGAAGACTAACACCATAGGTCACTTTGTCTATTTTTGTACTTTATATAAATTGAATCATACAGTATGTATTCTTTGCATCTGGTTTCTTTTGCTAAATATTATATTTATGAGATTCATGCATGCTGTTAAATTTAGTCATTTTTTTCATTTATATATTAGTTTGCCTGTATAAGTTTTCGAAACATTCTAAGTGAAATGTCTTATTAATAAGTTATTTTTTAATGAAATAAAGAGAGAAATTAAATTGGATAAAAAAGAATGTGGGTGTGGTAGAGTTAAGTGATTTATATAACAGTGGCACTTTGGCACTAGGGCACAGTCAAGACTAGTTAGTATACTTAGCGCAAGATCAAAATTATGAAAAATGTCAATGAAATATATAGAGAGAGAACATACACTTGAGGCCAAAGTACAGATTTAAGAACTTTGGCCCATTTTAGATTGTTCCCATTTTCATGAAATAATTTTTCCTCCTTGAGACTTTGAGTCACTGTACCATCACTTTGAAGAGTGTTTTCATATTTGTTTCAGTGATTTTCTTATAATGATTCCAGCCAACTAATGAGAGGCAATATAGTATGGTGGTGATATGTGCTGTCTAGGGAACGAGGTTTTCTGAGTTCAAAGCCAGGCTCTACTAATTTTTAAGCATGTACTCTTGGGTGAGTTCCTTAAATTAGCTGGACCTCATTTTCTTCATAGATAAAATAGGAATATTAATATAGGTAATACAGTGGTTGTGAAGATTGAATGAGTCCATAGAACAGTGCCTGGCTCAAATAAATCACTCAGTAAGTAATATTAATGATTCTTCTATGTATCAAGGGTTTTAAACTCTGGGGATAGGGGGACGTACTCCCAGGGGAAGGAGGGAATTTTCTTGAAGTCATTCATGGACCTTTAATGTGTCCCTCTACCCCTTCTGATGGACGCCTTAAAAGAAGGGAAGGCATTTCTTTCTTCACCTTGAGAGTCACTGTCAGAACAAGGACCTCTGCTGCTGATGGCAGCAGGTCATAGGCAGAGGCATACGCAGAAATGGAGAAAGGGTTACAACTTTGTGATAGACCCCTTGTGGTTTTAAATGCTAGTAATTGTGATTATGTAGCTCAAAAGTCATAGTATATCTTGTTATAAATTTAGTATTTCCAACATTTAAACAAAAGCAGTTAGGGACTTTGCTATCTTATTATTAGCCTAGGTTCCCAGACCATTCCCTATTGTCTAAGACTAATAAACCTAATTCACATTAGGTTTGTCATAAATAGTTGATCATGTCTAGTATCAGAGTATAGATAGTATAGTTCAGCCCATCATTCCTGTGCAAAATCACCTATAGGCCTTTGTAGAGGTGAAGAGCAGAGATTCTTGAATGCGATAGTATGGGTTCAAGTATTAGCTCTACTGTACTTCTAGATGGGTATGGGTAATGATAATTTCACTTCAGTGTAATGGTAATGATGGGTAATGATAATTTTTAAAATGAGAATTCTTATGCCTCATGAGATTGGTGTGAGGACTAAATGAGAAAATGCGCAGGAGCCATTATCTAGTATATGCGTTCACTGGTTATTATGTCTCTAGTTGAAATATTGACAAAATAATCTTTCTGAAAATCTCATAAGGTTGTATCCTACTAGTATTTTATATATCATTAGTACATTAGTCCAATAGTTTAGTAACTACAGAATTGACATATCAAAATTTCTCAGGTTTTAAGCATTTAAATTTTGTATGTCAATTCTAAGTATAGTGATTTCAAAGAATTGGTAGTTAATTGTTCCTTTTAGAAAACTCTGGATACTTTTAATTAACATCTCTTTCGAACCTAAATATAAAGCAACATGACTCTGTTCTTCAGTTGTATTGACTTACCAGAGGCTGTTTATGAGACATTTTGGAACTTACGTGGAAGGCTTAGCTTGGACACTTTTGGAAAAGTGTTTATGACCAATGGATGATTTCGACATGGATTGGATGAGAAGTGAAAGTAACAAGTATCTCTTTTTGCAGGTTCTTAATATTGCAGTAAATGCTTACCTCTCTGAAATGGGGTGGGTATACATATAACTGAAAACAGGAGATTAGTTTAGTAATAATTCAGGTCATTTTTTTCTTAAACTGCATGACAGATTTCTAAGCTTCTCTCTTAATTGATTAAGATAAATCTTAGATAATAGGAGGGCAAAAAAACATGATGGGAAATAATTGTACTCAAGTTTCATAAACTGTATTTTAACTGGGAAATTATCCAAGTGCCTGGTTTTCCTTTAGTCACAGAAAATCACGTTGAACATGTCAATGTGGCCATTTTGAAATATTTAGAGTTCATCCTCCCTACTGCCCTTTTACACTGTATTCTGTTTCCTAAACCAGCAGGAAAAAAAAGATTGAAGATTTAAATGAAAACAGGTGAAATGTTTCCAATCTTGATCGACTTTCATTTTCTAAGCAGCGCTATTTTTTCCCAAGCCTGCAATTTGTGAATTGGTTTTCCACACTCCATTTACCTTACAGACAGCTGCTGGAATTTCTTCCGGGAAGATTGGACAGAATAGAATAGAACTTTTTTTTTTTTTTACCTGCAGTCTCCTAAAATATGCTGTGTGTAATGAAAATAATACTTGATATTTTAGAACTTCTCCATACTTTCTTTATTGAATTAAATGCCTTGAAAATAGCATTTACCTTTGATGTTCTTCCTTTTCCATCAAGAACCTTATAAAGAAATATGTGGTTTTCTATTATTCCTTTTTGTATGCTGTTTATTTGAGCTTGTACATATGCTTTTCTTGTATAGACTCTGATAAAACAAGTATTATATTCTGTTCTATTTCATTTTCCTTGTCAAATATATATCCAAACTTTCTTATAGTGTTAGTCTCTTAATCCATTAGGGCCTAAATTTGTTAATCTCAAAAGTAAAGGCTGTACTGGCAAAGGATTTCTTTTTGTTAGCAATCCAGCATATAATTGAATAATTTTTTTTGAATGTGTGACACCAATTATGGGAACAATTTCGTATCTGTTCAGGCACTTTTATCTGGCTGTTTGCTTCAATTCAGTTATGCTGGATGCATCACACTATGAAATAAGGTAATCGAACTCAGTTTAACTTTCTACATCTAATGTGGATAGATATATTTGAAATGTTTCCTGCTCCTGTCACATTTTCATGCCTGCATCTCACTTTTACTTTACAGTATAGTGGTTATTACCTAAGAGATCACATAACAGTTTATCCTCTAGCAGTGTGACCCAGGTGAGGTATATGAGAGAAGTGATGTGATATTCTTGGCACCACTTTCACAAATGGCACAATCTTTTTTCTTTGTTTTGCCCTCAAGGAACTGAGTTCATAACTTATGTTCAAATCAAATAGTCGAAATCGCCCATAGGTGGTTACCTTATATGAGTGGCAGTTGTGTTATGATCCCTCAGTCCAATAAATAAAAGTATGCAGGCTTTTATTTT